AGGAGCTTTTTTTTTCCCCTCTTAGTACTATGCTTGAAACTAAGCATCACTTGCAGGTATCAGCCTTGTTGGACACATCACTACCTCAAGAAGTTTAATCAGTGAAGCCATAATCTCTCTTTAGGATAATTTGGGCAGATTCTTCTTTCTCCAGGCAGCTATTGGGAGGCAGGAGGGATGTGCTCACACACTGGTTGGTGCAGGGGGCCGAGTGGTAGGAAGGAACCTTCAACCAGGATGTTGGAATGGGGAGGAAGGAGACATTTAACACAAAATTTTAATTTCCATTTATCTATATTTTGATGGCTTATGCATCTGCAGAGATTTGATCATTTTAAAGAGCTTCAAATAAAAGTCAGGAAAGGTAGCTGACTCATCCTACCAGTTTGTTATCATACTACCAATTCAGGCAAGTAGAACAACTCCCACAAAGCCGGAATGACTGAGCCCTATTCCATTCACAAAATAAGAGCAGGAAGAAGAGAGCAGCTGAAGTTGTCAGTGATTCCACACTTTTGAAAATAGGAGCAGTTCCTTGGGTTCCTAAAGACAGACTTGTGATGAAATTTTTACACCCACTTGTTAAAATCTTTATCTGATGCCCTAGCAATATCCTGTGAGTAGTCTCTAGCTTCAGGAACTACACGGATCGTGTATTTTTGTCCTGATGTCACTATGGCTTTCATAAATAGAGCACGTCCTGTTTTTTTCCAAATCTCCAACAGAGCCCATGAACTTGAGGAGGTGCACATGGAAACACACAAATCTCAAGAACCTGGGGAGACCCCAGGCTGCTGGCTACCTGCTGATAATCCATCCTCTCTCCAACCACATCACACAATGTCTGTAAATCTACAGAAGTCTACACACTAGGTCTGAGTGCTGCAGACAATATTTTCTTCTATACAGTATCCAATCCAAAGGAAAGAGTAAGCGAATTACTAGTTAAAGAAATAAAAATGAAGCACGGTTATGTCTCATTTTTGTCTTGTTAAGTGCCCATCAAGCTTATCAGCTTTGCCTTGTTAAATGCCCATCAAACTTATCATCTTCCTTGTGCATCCTCCTTTCTTATCACCACATAATGACAGGCAACTCAGAGTTTCCCCCTGCAAGACTGATCACCTTACCCATATCACTGATCTCACAGCCCTGACCCAGGTATGACCACCCACCCTGGCACCCACACAACCCACTGCCATCATGGTGCTCCTGCCCAGCTTCTTCCTGTTTGCTAATAGAAGTATTTTTGTGCTAAATTATAACTGCCATGCTATTGAATCACTCACAGATACAGGACAGCAGTTGAGTCGGGAGATTTCTAGGAATAGTATGTCTTTTTTGTGCTGCTGAACTGTCTCTCTCTGAAATGCCTGTGAATTAGGGATTTGAAGAACCCATTTGTTATTGTATTCACCAAGCAAGATGCATCCTGATTCTGGGTAATGAGATCTCCTCATTCAAATTCCTAAAAATGAAAAATAAATACCTTGTTCTTGAAGTTCTTTGCAATATAATCAGTTATGTATCTATGCCTGTAAAATATTGTTCACCTCTATTTTTCACCTGTAGTATGCAGTGACATAAAATGATTATACAAAGTAGTTGTTGCGTTGTCATTGAAGAAGGCAGCTGACAACCTGGTTCAGTTCGTGTAAAGCCTGACAACAAGACTTAGAGGTGATCGTTTTTGATGCGCTGTTAACTCTTTGTCATGATATTTATTGTGCTCTGTGTGAGATAATGACAGGTTTGATCCTGCACCTTTGAGAACAATACAGGGATTGTCATAAATTTCAGAAGAAACAGGATGGGGGTATAATCCTTTCTATTTTAATTTTTGTTTCAGCCAAATAAGAGGAATCATGTAGGACATCAAATGGAATAGTTCAGCATAAAGCCTTCATCCTTCTCACCTCATGCTGCTCACTAGTTGTTAACACAGTTAAGTAGTGACTTAGATACCAGTAGGACAGTGAGAAAGGTCCATGCTGAGTGATTTTTATCTTTGTTTTACTATGGCATTTCTTGCAGCTCCTCTAGCAGCCAGTGTTCACTGTTGTCTGAAGCAGGATACCAGACGTAATTGGTTTAGCCTATCATGGCAAACTGTCTTCCTATAAATAAGGAGGGTGCATTTCTTCTTCTGTCTACCAGACTGGATGCAGTGTCTGTGCGAATACTCGCCAGATTGCTCCCTCCTTGCAGCTTCCACAAAACTAACTTCACGCTTCCCATACTTGCAGCACAGTGCTACCGTCCATCTCCTGCTCCGTGACCCCAGGCTTCTGGCAAAGCTGACTGGGCAGTCTTCAGCAGGCAAAGCGAGTGGATCTGGGAAGGCAGAGTGGTGGAAAGGCAAAAAGGAACCAAGGAGGTACAGGGGTTGTCTCACCCACCACAGGCACAGCTGCAGGACTGCTGCCTATCCCTGCTCTGTTGTCTGCAGGGCTGAGTGCGGTGTCCTTCCCATCCTGCATGAAGGATGAATTCTCTAATACATCGCAGCCAAAGAAACTTTGGGTGCCTGCATTTAACATGAACAAAGAGTGACAGTGTCACTTCTGATTGCAGGCTGGGGAATTTGAACACAGCAGCTTTCACACAAATAATTATGCAAGGAGTGAGGGTCACAAGACCTCTGATGAAAAAGGAAAAGGAAGCACAGTCAGAGAATATAAGGCTCAGATTCTAAGAGGAGGATCAGGTTGTGTTTATGTAGCTAGGTAGGTAGTGTGAAACATGATTCAGATGTTTTTATAAGCCAAATCCATATAACTACACACTGGATAAAGCTGCCAGATTTCTGTGCAGTTTGGTTGTGCTTTAGGGAATTGTCTCACCCCTGATTCTGTGGTGGAGAGGAAGAAGGTGACTTCTCCCCCAGGGGAAGCCTAGCTTGTCATGAAACAGCACCCATATTTTCCCAACCAAAGGCTGCACCAGCCACTTTGCCAGGAATGGGAGAGTCACACCCCATCTGTAGAAAATAGAGGGGATTGCAACAAACCTCCCTTAAAAAAATGTGCATCTCATAATGGCTGCAGGCCACAGCAGGCCATTTTCTATCCTTCAATTAGTGATCTTCCAAATGACTCACCAGTGAGCATTGCATCAAGGGACCTGCAATCTGCAAGGGCCATATCTAAGTATTCATTGACAGGACTGGTAGCACCACTTTTTTGAAGATTGCCCAACTTCTCTTTATAAGGTCCTATTTTCAGTTTGCTTACAGCTCTGCCAACCCTTTATCAGTTCCAGCTCACATGTTTCAAGCTTAGTGCCTGCCTACAGCTCATTACCTGTTTGTTGGGTTTGGGGGTTTGATTTAGTTGAGTTTGGGGCAGGTATCTTACTTTCTGTTTAATCAGTTCAGTTGTTTCTAAGAGAGATTTGTCAAAACAACAAAAGTTGTGGCTTTCTTTCTATAATTGCTCCCTGTGGCAGAGAATTGAAATTTGTCAGGCTGATGGTCCTCAGGTCATGAATCTGCCATGAAAGTCCACACCAAATGGACTCCTGGTGGTAATCAAATTGCAAACAAGCAACTCATGTTCCAGCCCACACAGTAGGTGAAGCTGGTCCTTCCTTACAGCAGTTACTCCCAGCTGCGCCGACAGCATGGAAGCACTGTCATCTGCATACAACTCAGAAAAACCAACAACTAGGCTGACCAAAAAGAGCCTAATGAGAGAAAGCTGAGGGATCTGAGCCAAGGGCTGCAGCAGAAGAGAAGTGCTCGATTCCATGGGGTTTCACGCAGAGACAGAGAAGGCTGGGACCAACAGGGACTGGTCAGTCTCAGCCCCTCTTCGATCGATCCCTGTTACTGTATGGCACCTACTGCCTATTCGTGCAGCACTATGACAACATCATCATAAACAGCGTTTGACCATCTCAGGAAGTGAGGGCTAAACTGAACAGGGCACAGGCATCAGGTGTGGGGAAGAAGGCTTGCAGGCAAGAACCTACCATCAGTGTGCTGTTTGTGGTCACCGAGTGAGGGTGAAATCTACTTGGACCAAACCCAAGAGAACGATCTGTGAGCCTGTCGTTGCTGTCTGCCTCTGTCATCAGTTTTCTTTTAGTCCAGAGAAATGAGCCCTGCCAATTCGTACAAACTAATTTAGAAGAGGCTTTAACTAATTTCTGGAGGTTAATATGTTCCGTATGTTCTGGGTAGATATGTGAGAATGATAGGCATGTGGCTGCTTCTCGGACTTGGGAGATTGTTATGCCAGAGAGCCACCATCAATCAATCAATTAGCATTGATTAATTAGAGGAGAGATGAAGGACAGCAAAGATACTGTAATCCTGTTTTCTAAACAATGGATCTGAGCATGTGTAAGCTCCAAGCATTCCTGAGCCCTGCAATATAAGGTGTCTGGAGCGGGATCAGACTGTGGTGGGAAGAGTGTCCTAGGGGAGGGGAAGCTGTGTTGTGGAGGAAGAAGAAAGGCTTTCTGCAGTGAGACCAGGAAACTGTGTGAAGGTAACAGTAATGAAAAGAGTATGGATGATAGAAGCTAGAGGGATAAAGCCGGAGAAGGGGAGAGAGTAAAGCAAAGGACATATACTTGGAGGGGGGACCTGTGTGAGCCTGTCCACTTCCCACTCTCCCCCTTTAAGGACTGCAACAGGACTAGAGAAGCTAGGACTTGCTCTTCCTACCTCCTAGGCCGGTCCCACCTGCTTCACGGCATATCTGAGGGCCCTTGCCACAGCCAGGCTGCAACGGGGAAAAAGCAGATAGCAGTTCATGAGTCCCCCATCGAGGTACAGGCTGGTTCCCACAACTGCATAAGGGTGTGACAGGATGTAGCCCCGACAGGTTTTTGCAGCACCAGAGGGCACCAGACAGCAAGGAGCAGGCGTTACCTGGGTCGTTGGGGCTACAGAGCCAAGGGGGTAGGAACAGGGGGCTGAGCTGGAAAAGTAGACAGGAAGGGCTATATATCAGGAGGGTCAGGGTGGCGATGTCAAGAAACATACCTCTTTTTTTCATTTGCTCTTTGTAACCGACTTGGAGTAAATCTCAAGATACATGGCTTCTGGGATTTCTCTCTTCGCCCTATCAAATCAAGAAAATGAGGCTACAATGTAAATTTTACCTACCTCCTTTACCACTACTACCTCTGAACTGGACATGCTCATACCACGTGTACCCCAAACGTGGCTTTGCAGAAAACGTGAAACACTTTGAAGAAAAAGGAACCACCAGAGTTACTTTGCCTTGCAAGTGTGGTGAAACTTGTGATGTTGGTCTGTACAGTCACCACATATTTACAGCCCTAGAAGCAATGAGGTACTGGGTAAACCTTTCAGCCTTTGCACTGTCTTCTGCAGCCCCTTCAGCCCAATGCCAAAGATAGATACCATCTGTACTCCCCCAGTGTCTGTCACTGAAGCCATGGGCCTCAGTCATTCTCTGGCCCTCTGTTAACAACCCCAGTGGCAAGAAGGCCCAGAGGTGCTCCCCATGACACAAATCTCTGCACTGATACAATCATTTGAACAGTGGAAAAATCAGGCTTCTTTTTTCCCTCTGTGTCCTTGTGCTCTGAAATTAGATTTCCTTAGATGTAGGGTAATTACTATGAGTCCTCTCCTCAAAAAAGGCACATCAGTCACGCTACAGACATAACTCTTTGGCTGCATGACAAAGACAAGTATTACATCTTTCCTCCACAGCCTGCTCAAAACCCAGTCTCAGGGCTCCAATGGACTCTTGAAGAGAAGCAGCTGTGACCAAAGCAGACTCCCAGCCTGGAAAACACTTGGGGGAAGAGAAAATACCCTACCTGGCATGATGATTTACGGATGTGTTCAGAGCAAGACATTCAACTCTTCCCCAGCTACACAGCCATCTTCCTCTTTCTCCCCTACAAACTAGATCCTCTAAATCCCTCATTTAGCCTGTTTCCCACTAAACTTTTTAGACAGGTCACTTCATTTTTAGCCTTGAGTTCTGTCACAGTAACTGCTCAGAGCAATTGAGGCCTCCTTTGCAGAGGTCATCATGGGGCTTTTCAGCTAAATTAGCTGCTTTAGCCCTGACAGCCCCTCATTTAAACTCACTTGCTTATTGCTCTGCTTAAGTTTCACAGCAAGCTGGGCCACCAAGAGTGAAAGGATGTGGTCTACCAATTACACTGGAGATTAGAAACACCTTGTTTTGGAATGAAAACTAAGAAAAATATGACAATGCAGCTGAATAGGAAGAAGTATTCAGAAAACCTTTATGTGTCATCTTAATCATCTTCTTATTCATGAACGCACTTGAAAACTCTCACAAGGTTATGATAAGGAGTCTCACACCAGTGTTACAAGAAGACAAAGCGTTCTGTTTTTTTTTTTTTTTTCCGAGCAGCAAGTTACAACACGCAAGCAAACGCTGTGTGCAGAACACTTTTCACCTCCACGCTCCCATCCAGAACTGTATTTACCCTTGATAAATGATGAACTATGTCCTACAGCTGTGCTACATATTTCAGTCTAACAAGGGCAGGAGTAAGGTCATACTGATTCTAGAGCACTGTCTATCGAGACAAAGGGAGTCACACTGTGTCATGTGCTCTGTATTTCATGCAGCCTAGCCTTAGACTATTTCCTGAATCCCTTGTTTTCCTGAGGACATGGCAACAGTTTATGTACACTGCTCTGAAGTTAAAGACCTGGCCAGCTTATGTGTTTTTCCCTTCCTCTACCAAACATTATCTTGTTCCTTTAAACCCTGTTTAACCTTACTTTGGTTCCTGTTTCTCTGCAGGGCTCATACACCAGCAAGAGAAGTGAAAGCAACTATTTCTGTTTCTTTCCACTGCTCTGAACAGAGTCTGAGTGCCTGAAAGTGAATAAGGGCCAGAGACATGTCCAAGAGGCTAAGTGAACCTCCAGTTCCAGCACAAAACAAAACGGATCCTTGAACTAACCCTCTGGTGCAAAATTTCTAGCCCTCATCTAGTAATTGGAATTTGCTCTGCTGCCAGCAACGCGTGGTCAGACTGCACAGGAGCTGAACACTAAGATTGGGATTCATCTCACTGAACATTAGCTGTCTCTAGGCCTCCTCAGCACACAATGCAGACAGACAGAGCAAGAAGGGTTCATCACACCCATTTCACCCCTATTTTGTGCTGGAACAAATAGTTACTGGATGGTGCCTCTTTGTCTCCATAGCCTTGGTGTGGGCTAGATGCTGAGCTATCAGATGGCTGGGGTTAGGTGAGAGGCATTGAAACCATCTTGAACAACTATTTTCATCTGGGTATTTTGCCAGTTTGTGCATTTGTATCTAGGATTTCCCGATGCTCTTACTTCTAAGGCGTCCACAGGGCTGTTAGGTGGTGCTTCCAGTGACCCCATGTCTCTGTTGCTTTCTGGCTGTTTTTGTTCTCAGGAAGTTACTTCCCTTCAAGCAGGAACATGATTGTAGAAGTCTAAAGATGATGGACTAAAGTAAAAAAAAAGGAGGTTATATCTTCCCTGCTCTTAATAGTGTCTGAAAAATGCCCAAAAGCTGCCCTTAAATATTTGGGTAGTTCTGTGAGCAGCGTAACTGGTAACTCTTGATTTCCTATGAATTTCTGTTTACAGTTAAATTCTCTGATGCTTAGTAACATACAAATGCCAATTACAGCTTCTCCTGTACTTGGGGAGGTCATAATGATCCACTCCCACGTAAACTGTCAGGTGTCATCCATGAGTTCCACCTGGGCCTTCCCTCCAGTGAAGGCATATACAGGGTATGTCTCTTCTAGAGACCCAGCTACTTTCCTGATTGGATTGAATTGGCCTGTGAGTTCAATGATCTAGGTGGGGTGGCAGAAATACACAGTTTGTCTTCCAACAAATACAACAGGCCTCTTAAAAATACAAAACTAATCCATTTATATTGTAAAGAAGTAAACTAAGAATGGAAATACTTTTTCCTCTGCACAACTTTCAATGAAAGGTTCTCTTTGCCTCTGCCTTTTTTTCCCGTTACATCACATCTTTGAAGGCAGAGGCCTAGCAGATGGTAAGAAGAGAGCAGTTGTTTTTGTTATTATTTAGATATAGAGCACCTTAATGTATTCTAGTAACTGCTGAGTTGGGTGAAGAAGGCTTCCTGATGGAAAAATGTGCCTCCCCTTTGGAAAAAAAAGAAAAGAAAAAAAAAAAAAAGGAGGTACTTTGAAACATAAAGGGCAATTCAGTCCTTTGAATACTCATATCATAAAACTGAATATGAAATAATTACTATAAATGAGGCAACTAGTTCCTACACCCTCTGCAACCTGGATGACATCTTTCTGTGTCATCAAAATAAAAGTTACTTGCAGAAAACACATCACTTACTACCTTATCTCAGTCACCTCAGCCCACACATACAAAAGAAGACCAAAGTCTAAATCATCCATCTCTGCAAAGAAATTAACTACAAATATTTTGACTCTATTTCTTTCTCCAAAACTACTGGCACTAGGACAGGCATGTGATTTTATCCCTAAACAGGGTGTTCCTTAGGCTCTTTGCCAATTTAATTGGCTTATTCATATCCTTCCCTTCCAGATTACCTCAGGGAGATTTGCATGTTGGAGGCCTATAAACACTGATGAATCAGTGCATGAAAACCAAAAACACTGTTCAGTGTCTGACAGGGTCCTCACTAGCTTTTGCCCCCAAATTAATTGTTCTTATTGGAACAACCTAACATACAATCAACCTCTGACATCATCCTAATGTTATACAGACAAAAGAGCTAAAATACTATGAGACTAATCTAATTTCCTTTTTACCGGTGTTCCCAGGTACTCTGTAGGAGCAAGCAACAGATAAAGTTTTCAAATGGGAAGATGCAGATGATTCCAGCCCAGCTTCTTCAGTTTACTGGCCATTTTGCAGACTGTCTTCTTCTGATTTTCCATGAATAAACCACTGGGACTGAAATCTAAAGAAATGCAAATACAAAGACAACTTAATTTCCTCTGTCTGCAAAATACAGCTTTTCTTATAGCAGTTCAACAGCTAGTTAATGTGGTGTTATTTAGAACAAGCAGGTGGGCTTCCAGTGAATTCAGAACAAATTTCCTTCACATGTTGAACCTGAACTCTCTAAGAAATATTTTGCAGGCTGATTGAGGACAACTTTACCTCCACCAAAACAGAAACAAGCAAAGATTTGTATTCATGAATAAAGAAAAGGCTGAAAGAGGTTAATTTTCCCTTTTTGTTGGTTAAAGTCTTGGACTTGCATGTATCTCTTTTTGTGACATGAACAGTTTTGACAAAATGCACCAGAAAACTTTACAGAACGTACTTCTTCTCTACATCTTTGGTAACAATTTAATATATTCTTGTCTCAGTACTCTCATAAAAAGCAGTAGCTCTGTCTCCCTTCAGGGGAAGATTACTACACCCCATATTCAAACAGATTCCATTTTCTCGTTATGTTATATGCCCCTGCAGTGCCTTTGCTAAGCAAGCTCCCTGCTTCTAGACCAAACCTATTAGTGGCTACACGGTCACTCTTGCAAATCCAGCACCCTTCCAGTAAATTCCTATTTTGCTTTCCAAAAAAATTCTCCATGCTTAACACCCATCTCCCCAAGACCATCAACCAGCACTTTTTAATCTATTTCACAGTAAGATTTACATAATGTCTTTAAAAGCCACGGGTTGCTTCATAAGGCAGTCCTCACCATTCTGGTACTTGTTTTCACAAGGACTTTGGCATATCACTTACTAATAAAGTTCATATTCTTTAATAACAGAGTTTATGCACTTAAATACCTGCCGGAGGATGAACACATCTCTACCATTACAGCTGAAGTATTTCAAAGTCCAGCACTTTTAAATCAGCGCAAATGACTTAAAAGTAGTTTCCCTGTTTGCACTGACAGTTGTGGTTACAGGTGTTATGCACTTAGAAACTCTGCTTAGATATTAAAACTTGCACACAAATTCACTCATATTTGCATTCACTGACTGTTTATCTATGAAAAATCTGCAATACATTTGTCATGCCCACATTGACTCTATGTAACGTGTTCATACAGAAGTTCCAAGCAACATCACAGAATTATTACAGTCCACATATGTAAATGCAAGTGAGCCACTGCATATAGTTTTTAATATATAATGCAGGAGAGCAAATGTAATGAAATGGTGGGAAGAATGAGGAGTGAACTCCCTAGAATTAAAGCATATATGTACATAATTTTTATAAATGGCAAAAATGTTTCACTCCTACTGAATACTTTAAAAACATTTATACCACACGCAGACCAGTAAATAAGATTCAGATCTCACAAGAAGTCCATTATAGGACCTGATCATTTAGAGTATTAGAGAGACATCGCCTAACAGGGAGAAGTAAAGCCAGCCCACGCTCCAGACTCACTGCAGGAAAGCGGAGAGCTGGCAGCCCCGAGAATTCATCCTCTTTGATCCACAATGAAAAAGGATAATAAGGGTATACATACTTACCCTTCCCTAGTTTTCACTTTCTTCATGGAAAAGTTATACTGAGTCAGGCTTCTAGTTTTAGCCCAGGAGAATTTTGTCCATATACTCCCCACACACCAGATCTCTACTTTTTAAAAAGTTCTCAGTATTTTTTCTCCCCTTCCTTAAATTCAATTAATTCTAGTAACAGATGCTTCTTTGTTGCTTGTCACTTAAGTATTTTAAGCATTTTGAATCCTGTCTCGTTTTATACTTGTTTCTAAAGGAGTCAGTTCTGGCCTTCAGCTCTTTGTTTTCTTTCAAAACCTTATTGAACTAGTTGTGCTCCTCTGCTTTCACTTCAAGGACACCACGTTTTCTTTTGTCATGATAACTCTCACTCTGAAATGTCTCAAACTTACAATCAAATGCAAAAATAAAACTATCTTTTCCATTTATTCCTCTTAATAGCATCCTGATGGCTGCACATTTCAGATAACCACTTGAAAGGACATGCTGGGGGTAACAATGCAGAAAATGATGCTGAATCCTTGCTTGTTGTAGCTCAGGCAAGAGAAGCCGTTAGCACGTTTTATTCAGGAATGTCCAGATTACAGCTCTAAATTTACAGTTTATGGTGCAACAGGGAGTGACAGCTGCACTAGGTCTGGCCCTCTCATCCACACTGGGTGTTAGCAGTGCCTTTTCTAAAACATTAAAGGTAAGCATGTGTAGAGCGAGTGTGGGTATTGTATAGAAAACCTGCTCCTGCTTCCACCCAACAGGAAAACAAAACAGTCTAGGAGTCACAGCTTTCCTTTCTTTACTCTTATTTAAATGTCAACCAGTGTTTTATGTGGCTGTTTATTAAGTAATAATAATACAATAATGCCCAGAGGCTCCAATTAGGACTGGGAAGTCACTGCAGTGGGATTGTGCAAAGGCGGAGGAACGGATGGCGGGCTGGGAATTGGATGGCTCCCCAGCAGCGAGGAGCACGGGCTGGAAGCTGGCTCCTCTCGGCAGGCGGGAAGGGCTGCTCCCAAAGCTCCCCGCCACCACCAGCAGCCACTAAGCATTTTGTTTGTGTGGGAGTGGGATGTTACTTCGGCTTTGAGTTTTTATTCGCTTGGGGTTTTTTAATGCCCAGATATAGAATAACCAGGAAGACATACAAAGAGGTTTTCTTCAAAGTAGCTGAGCCCACAAAGGGAAAAAAAGAGTGTATGTAGATGTATATGCTAATTCTTACTAATTAAAACCAGAGTGCTGTGCTGGAGCTGTGCACAGGCTTTATTAACTAATATTAAAACAAAGGGCTGATTTGCCTTCCACAGAAATTTCACCTTGGCAAAGCTCTGCTGCAGTGGAGCTACTCCTCATCACTTCACACCAATGCGAGCACAGGATCAGGCCAGGAGCCCTCAGGAAGGACTCGAAAGCCGGTAACAAAACAAAAGGACAAACAGGAGGCACATGGGGAGGACAACCCTAAGGAGCGGGATAAGAACAAGCATGTTGTTCTTGGCAGAAAGTAACCAGCAAAAATTAATTGCGTAGTCAGTCTGTTGCTCAGTTCTTTTTGTTTTGTTATGAAATGGGATTTGTTTTTGTTATAGAGGAATGGGATATATTTCAGCAGAGGAATCTGAGCTGGATAGGCTTTATGGCAGAAGTACATTTTATGGGGAGATTTGAATGAAGGCAGTGTGGATTTGGTTCACAAGACAAGTGCAGTTGTTCCAGGCTTAAACAAAAAGGGCAGCATGAATGAAAGCCCTAAGAGGAAAGCAGGAGGGGAGGAAGGAAGTGATTAGAGGAAAGCTGAGCTGGACCAGAACACGCGGGAGCAATGATACAAATCCCAAATTAACACAGCAGCAGAACAACAGTGAGCCACGAATGTGAGGCCTGAAATCAAAGGGATGAACAACCCAAAAATGCCCAAGAAGGGGCACAACAGTGGTGAGATGCTGCCGCTCAGTGAGGAAAAAAGGGCAGGAGGGTAATGAAAACTTTATTTCCTGGAATGGAGAACAGAAGGACCCTGAACGGAGTGGAAAGAATCAGCTAAAGATTCCCCAGGAGAAACTTCTAGAAAGCTGGTAAGTTATGAGCTTCTTCCAGCTAGGGTTGACCTAAATCTGGGGAAGAATTTCAGAAACAAGGTCTGAGGTGGGGAAACAGGTCACTGGAAATACTTCACAGAAGAACAAGCATGACCTAAACCCAGTGTTCATAGGGTACAAATGAGCTCGGAGGATGACAGTTACCCGTGGAGGTGAAGAAAGAACGAGGAAGGGATTTGCCAGCAGAAGATGGTCATCATCTTCTGTTTTATGAGTGGAAAAGGTACACTAAGTGAGAGGTACTGCATGACACTGACAGAGGGAGGCAGATGTGGATCGATCAGAGAAGCTGGTTAAGTAGTAGGTGTGTATAGATGGTACATCACACATACATACCGCCTGCGTGCGAAACTGGGGAGCATGCTGGAGGTCAGCTGCAGAGGGAGGGAGGAGGCTTTTGAGAACAAAATGTAGCCAGATACTATCTGAGGAGAAGAATGGAAAAGACAGGTAAAATAGTGACAGAGAAGTTGAACCCTTATTAAAGGATCTGGGAAAATAAGTTTTAAATCAAGTCATCAGTTCTTGATTGGTCTTTGTAGAAAACTGAATTTAATAAAACTGAAATTTCAGCTGGCTTCCACTGAGTTTCCATGCAAAATTTCCAAAGAAGCAACAAGTCTGCAATGAAAAGTACAGGCCCATTTCTTCAGTGTGCATGCCAAACCACAGGGCTACGTGTTGCAAGTAAACAGAATGGACAGTGTCCCAAACCTCCTCCTAGACCTGAGGAAATTAGTAGGAAATAGTTAACATGTCTCAGTTGTCACTGTGTCCTAAGCTCGTTTGTTCACTAAGGTACTGTCACAGAAGAAAAGCCAGACCTTCACTACATCTCAGCCTGACACAGTTGTGTAAGCTCGTGGAGGATGTGAGCTCCAGTCTACCGCAACAGTGGAAAAACATTCACAATTCTAAGCATGTTTGATTTCAATGGCTTTTAATTCACATGTTCAGTATTACCCACATGATTAATATTTGGCTTGTAATTTTTTTTCACCATTCCAGTTCAAGGTATTTTCAGTTGACTCGATTCTATTCTTTAGTTAGTATGTAATACCATGCTGCGCCTTTACCCTTATCATCACTTCTGAAATATTAATTGTCCTACAAAGGTATAAAAGAACATTTGAGAAAAAAAATCTTTGTATAAGAAGTGTAGTTTTCCTTTCTGATAAAGCAACCACTGTGGCAGTTTTTTAAGATCAAGAGCAAAGCAGAGTTTAGTTTGGTGCAGTGTTTCTCCAAAATTCAAGCAGGAACTTTATATGTGAAGTTTAAAAATGTGCATGTTTTATGATAGAAAAAGGAAGATAACAGATAGACATGATGCAAATGCTTGTATATTAAAATGTTTGACAATAGAGGGTAAGAGTGTGCAGGACATGGGGAAGTAAAGCATTCTTTCTTTAAGTTGTAGTAACATTTCCAGTACCTCACAACACTGCCCTCCCTATACTCGATTACTTTTTTTGGTGAACCTACACAAGGTTGCGATTGACGACAGATGGAAAAGTGCATTGATCCACACTTCACTAGTGTTGGTGCTTTCCTGATATGTCAGGGTAATTGCAGTAGTCAGAGCTGCAAAATTTTACTCACTGCTTCCTAATTATTCTATATCCAGGTCCGTAGCACAATTCATGCGTATACACCAATGAGTTTAGTAATTTTCCTTTTATAGCCTTGATGTATTATTCTGAATATAGGTGAACTGGCTAAAATGGGTTATTACTGCTTCACCTCCTTCCAAGTAAAAAGTTTAGTTCCATCATGGCTTCGTTGTTGCCACCTCGTATTACAGAACAACTGCAAGGGCTTCCTGGGTCATTCACGATAGCCTCATGCCACTGAAAGCAACCATACCATACAATCCCTTCTCTTAAAACATTAAGCCTTATCTAAAGACCACCTAAGCCTCATCTAAAGATTTGGGGTTGATTTTATTTTCACCCATACTACTGGAAGAGTGCTCTGGAAACTCATTCCTCTGGCAGTCATAAATCTTCCTCCTTTGCAGTTTGGGTGAAGTAACTGACAGTTCGTGTATCAACAGAGTCTGCAGCACTAAAATAGATCTTAAAAATCTCCTGAACTTATCTCCTTCTTATACTTTTAGAGAAAAATCATAGACTTCAAAAGTTATTTGATTGGGCCAATAACCTTTAACTAACAATCCTTTAACTTCTTGCAATAAGTAAAGTTTCCACTTCAATTTTCCTAATCAGCTCAGTCACTTTTTTTCTGGATAGGTTCTGGTTTTAATTAATCTTTCCTGAATGAGTGGAAGTATATACAGTATTCTAGAGGAAATAGGCGTTTCGAATGTCTCTTAAGCTGGCAAATATACTTCTTCACTTCTGCTGGGACTACCTTGGTACCTTAAGCCTGAGAAACGTGTTTAACCTGTTGAATGTCACTACACGGTACAGGTTCAGATCATAATTTTTGGTGCAGTTTACCAGCATAAGCCAGCACCTAAAGAAGCAGAGGTGACCTTCACTGACCTTTGGCTTTCATACCTGTTCCTGTGTATCCTTTCCCTTTCACCAGCACTATCTGTGTGATTGTATAGCAAAGCAGACTGAGAAATTTATTCCATTTTTCTTTTGGCTGTTTTTCCCACCTTACAATTCCTACACTAATCCCCATTTTTTCAACTCAACTAATCCTTTTTCACTCAGCACCACACAAACACTTCACTGAAGTCCTGACAGATCACCTCCACTGCATTTCATCTACAAAATCTGCAACCACAATGTGTGCACAATACATCTGTAAGAAACCTTCAGTATGCATGGCCAAATTCAAGTGGAATGACGCTGCTTAAAGCAACTTTCACTCATTCGGGCTGAGATGGAACAAGCCCTAGAAAACAGCTCAGCTAACTCATGGTCCCATGTTTGAGAGCACGACTGGTTAATGAGAAATGAGCCACTGTGTGAAGTGGGAGGAATATGGTTAGACGGCATAAAAGAAAATATAAGGATTGTGATATGGAGCCTGCAACGAATGAATAGGATGTCTCAAGGAAAAGGAAGAGGAAGCAGAATCAAGATGGTATATAAAGAGAATAAGAGGAAGACAGAAAAAAAAAAAACAAAACAAAACAAAACAAAAAAACAATGGGGAAATGGAGCAATGGCAGTGGAAAGGGAAGAAGAGAGAATGTATACGGACTAACATTTGGTCAACTGTGCCATTTCCATCACAGTCCCGAAGAAATACACGGAAAGGGTTACTTTCCCACCCTATTCAGAGCTGTACAAAGGTCAACGTGCTGCCCTGCATCTGGACTTGTCTTTTTAACAGGTGTCATGCTTGAAGTGCAGATCCAATAAAATCTAGCCCAACATCAGTTCTAAATACGCTCTCGCATTCCCAGCATTAATAAAATTTGTGGGTATTATTTATTTAAAAAATATGCTTATAATATATAATTTTAAAGGCACCCCATGTAGCACATAATGGGACACTGCAAATTGGTTATATAATAAGTAAGTAGAAGAAAGAACAATATAAACAGTGGTTTGCAGCCTTGACCCTATGGTGTTTCCTGCCACAATGAAAGTAAAAACACATGTTCCCTGACAACCATCAAGCCCTTTGTCACTGCTGTTGGACATTTTGCTGCCTTAGGGCTTGTCTACATGCAAAGCTACATTGGTTTAGCTGGGTTTAATTTGCTGCAAAGGGCTCTGTGAATTCTTATTTTGACTTAAATCAGACTTACTTCAGTTTAGCTCAACAAATTAAAGGTCAGATAAAGCTTGAGTAACTCTGCTGATTAGGACAATCATGGTTCTAATCAATTGCTTACAATTATAGTGCTGCCTGCACTGGCAAACCCTTGCTTTCTAGTAGCTTATCTTGACGAAGTTTTGCCCGATTTGTCAGACTGTTTTAATTGACTTAAATTGTGCCTGAATGGTCCTTAGGATCTGGTGTCACATGAGTTAATGTAACCTAATGCTTTCTGCTGCTGAATGCAATATATATATATAAGTTCACTGGGACAAATATTAAATCTAATGGGAAGTGCTGGTTATTCTTTTTTTTTTTTTTTTTTAATATTGTATTCAAACACAGGCAGTTCTCAGCACAGAGATGAAGGCAGAAGGGGCTGTCTCTGTCCTGTGTGGGCACAGGGCATTCCAAACCAAACAAGTGCTACACACACATGCTGAGAGACACCCAGGGTTTCCTTAATTCTAAGCCTGCAAGAACAACTTTGCCTTGGTCTTCCTGGGTGAAGTGCTTGGCAAGAATACTTAAGGCTGTTGCACAAAGACAGGGAAACTTATCTGCTTAGGGAAATGCAATGGAAATGAAGAATTAAATGAATGGAAAACCAGCCATCATTATTCCAAAGAAGAGTGTCCACAGAAGGAGTTATACTGGTATAGTAATAGTAGGACAATTATAACACTGTAATAACAACAGTACATTTCCTGAGCCTTGTTATGGAGAACCAGAGCTTGACTTACATTTTAGAAAGGCTTGTCAGCATCCTCACTACCAAGGAAATGCTCCAAGTACTTCCTCTACAGAGAAAAAGGTAACAGCAGAGGAATAATTTTGCTGTTTTCTGTAATTAGTTTTAGGCCAAGGCAAGTCGGGCAAACCTAGGGTGAATTTCACCTAATTGTTCCAACATTGTCATGAGCTATCTGTCACAGAAAGCAAATTAATTACTATTTCTATTTTTGTTGGGCAGAAAGGCTCTGCTAGGTCACCCCACCACCTGAAGCCTCAGTTATGCTAAATGCAGCACAGCCATATTGCCAGCACAAACATCAGATTTGTGTTTAGAATGACTGGGCGCTGTTATGGCTTAATTAACAATATATGCCACACACTGAACACGTAAAGCAAAAACTTACTTCCAAATGACAGTAAGGGTTGCTTTGTTGGGTTATTTTAAATGTCAAGAGGAAGTCTAGCTTGTATTTCACAAGACAATCAAAAAACACTAAAGTGCTAAAATTTTATGAGGGCATGCCCCTCATTTTATCTTCCAAAGACAACCTGTCTTTCTCCTTGTAGTTAAATTAACAGAATTAGATACACAAAAGATGAATGTTACATACATGTTGGGGCCTACCAACCTCTGTTAGCTTGCCCACTGGGGTGAACTGCGACACAGTTTATTTCAATTAGGAAGCTGAACAGGAAAGAGCTCTGCTCTTTCCACAAGCAGCCGCAGCTCTTTGAACCTCTTCCCTCACCGCCCTCCTTAAGCAAGAGAGACCTTTACGCAACTGCGAGGAAATCAGTTGGTTACACCGAGATACAACCCTTGACACCGTGAGGCCTTTTCTGGTATGCCCTCAGCCCTCACCTCCACCCGCTTCATACCTGCGACTCCTGCATGCCCCCTGCCCTGCCTTCATCACGGAGGCCACTAAAGGCACTTTTAACCCTTATTTCACACAGAGACGCTGCAGCACCGGTGGGAACAGGAGGGAGACGCTGAAGCACCGGTGGGAACAGGAGGCCCCCGGCCACAGCCAGGCAGGCAGCAGGGCCTAGCACAGGCCTCCGGACTCTCGCCCCCTTTGTGTCTCCAGGACCTGACGGGAGCCAGCCCGCCCGCCACCCCCCCCCCCCCCCCCCCCCCGACCCCTCTTCGCCAAGGCCACCCCGCTCCCCCCAAAGCGCTGACAGCGCCCGGCACCCAAACCCTGCACCGCAGCTCCCCTGCCCCGTCCTTTAACCCGCACCCCACACGGCCGCCTCCGAGGGGGGATTTAAACCAGAACCCGGAAGCCGGGGCGGCCGGCGCGGGGCACGCCGGGATTTGTAGTCCCGCCTCCCCCGCCGGCGCCCCTCCGCCGGCCACGGGGGAAACCACGAGCCCCGTGAGCCTTTGCGGCCGCCACCGCCCCGGCAACGCAGGCGCAGTGGTGGGGCTTGGTTTTTGAATCCGCGGCGTTGTTATTGACGCCATATTGCTGGTGTGGGAGTCGCGGAGGGAAGCGCCGCCGCCGCCGCCGCTCGGGCCCCGCCGCCATCGCTCGTCATCGGCGGCCCCGCACCGGGTAGCCGGGCCCGGCCCCGCGCCCTTCGGCCCAGCTCCCGCCCCGCCACCGGCCGCGGGCGGAATTGGCCCGGCCAGGACAGGGCAGGGCGAGGCGGCGAGAGCGGGGATCCAGCCGGAGGCGCTGGGGGGGCCGGGGCCGCTCCCCAGAGAGAGGCCGACAGGGAGGCGGCGGAGGCCCTGACGCAGCTGCCCCCTCCTTTCCCTGCCGCCCTCCCTTCCCTCCCCCCCCAGCCCGCCCCAGACAGCGGGGAAGGCGCCTCTGGGCAGGGCCGGCTGCTGCCACCGCCGCCGCCGCCTCCCCTGCCCCTCGCTCCGAGCCCCCTTCCTCCGCCCCGCCGCCGCCCCGCGCCATGGCTTGCGGCGCCACTTTGAAAAGGACTCTGGATTTCGACCCGCTGCTGAGCCCGGCGTCCCCGAAGCGGAGGCGATGTGCGCCATTGTCAGCCCCGGCCTCGGCCGCCGCCTCCTCCTCCTCCTTCGCCGCCGCCTCCCCGCAGAAATACCTGCGCATGGAGCCCTCGCCCTTCGGAGAGGTGTCGTCCCGGCTCACCACAGGTGAGGGAGGCGGCCCCGCTCTGCCCGGCAGCCCCCCGGGGAGGAGGAGGGGGGGGTGGTGATGGGTGTGGGGCGGTGGCTGGGGGGGGGACCTCGGCGGGGAAGGGGGGCGGCGGCGGGTACGCGGGGCAGGGGGCCGAGAAGGCGACCGGGGGGGGGGGGGGGGGGGAAGAGGAGGAAGAAGAGGGGAGCGTTGGGGTGGGTCCCGCGTCCCCCTCCAGCCATTTTCTGTCGGGCTGTGTGGCTGGCAGCGGCGGGGGCCGGGGCGATCCCTGATCGGCTTGGCACCGCCGCGGCGGAGACACAATAGAAATGGCCGTTTGCAGCAGGAGAGGGGGAGGAGGGACGGGGAGGAAGGAGGGGGGGGGGCGGGTTGAGGCGATGCGGGAGGGTGGCCATAGGAAAGGGGTCGGGGGCGGGGGGGGGGGGGGTAAGACTGGAGAAAGGGATCTGAGCGGGGGAAGATTTTGGGAGCGGTGGGGGGTTGTTGGTGGGGGAGGCTTGATCCGGTGCCGAGGAAAGCGGGAGGCCGGCTTTCCTCGCATCGGGGACGACGGGCATGGAGGAATTCCCCCCCCCCCCCCCTCTTTTCACGGGTGCCTGGATGTGGCAAGGAGAGCCGCAGGGGCGAGTCGAGCTGCGGAAACGCTGTGGGCGGCGGGGGGGTGGGGGGGTGGGGGGGAAGGAGGGTTTGGGGTGACCGTGGTGTCTGTGGGGGGGGGCGGGGCTGGGGTTCGCTCCCAGCCTGTGCCCGGAGCCCCTCACCGCGGGGCCCCCATCGATCCCTCGCAGCCATTATCGGTGGGTCGAGCGTTGCCCGAGCCGCGGCGGCGGCACCTCCTCCCGCTGCTCAGACGTTGGAGGGGGGTTGGGGGGGGGTGGGGGGGGGGGGGCGGGAGGGAGGGCGGGGAGCGCGGCCTGTCATCAATCACCCGCAAAACGCCAGTGGGGAAAAAGCAAAAGCAGATAAAACAAAGGGGTGATTCCGCTTCCAGTCACTTAATGCGTGCCACCGTCCCGGTTGACCCATTCTGTGGCATTCTGAAAGTTTCGTAGGAAAACCGAGCGATGAAAGGGATTGTGTGCAAGGGTGAGAGTTGCCTTTAGGGCAGATAAAATGGAATCGGGCAGTCTCCTTGTCTCAGAGACGTTGGGCGAGAACGAAACCCTTTTACATTCTTAACCTGTGAGAGATGAGTCAACCGGTGGCCCTGAAAGCTTCAGGTCTGCTTGTGTAATTGTTGTCAATTAAAAAAATCAACCGAGTTCGTTTTACCAGCGAGTAGGGAGAGAAGAAAGGAATGAATCTTGGCTGGGCACACAGGATTGATGGGCCCTTGCTACGGTTAGTCTAGTGGGTAGCTTCCAGTAATGCACTTAAGGACGGTTGAGCTCGCAGCCATGAGTTGAGGTATGGATCTGTGTCCTTTGTGTGCAGGAAAAAAGCCCTCTGCAGTTGTTGCAGCTGAATTTCTTCTGCCATTGCATTCGGTACGCCCTTTTATACAAAAGTTGGCCCCGGATTACTGCTGGGTAATACCCAGTAAGTTTGAATGTGTTTTCACATTGCCATCTCCTCCATGTAGGACAGTGCCTTGTTTTGATATTCTTAATTCTGGAACCTGTGCAGTAAAATATATTTTTTAGAGGTTTTAATCGAATAATTAAAAAATTGCTATGGAGGACATATATAGAGGGCATACAAAGCACTTAAACTTGGCATCAGTGCCTTGATATTTTTTTGAACCTCTAGGAAAAGATCTTGAATGAGTCAGCGGTCTGGGATGAGAGTGGTGATGGATGGCACTCCCCGGTACAGTGAAGCATTACATGTACTTCGAGATAGATGCTTAAAATCAGAATTCATTTGATTCTTTTGTAGAAGGTAAATGTTGCTTCATTGCAAGGATTTCTTTTGGCTTGTTTCCCTGGGATTTGCAGAGCCTAGGTTATGAATATTTAATATAAATATTGTCTGGCCAGTAAATGTGTATCACTGAAAGGAGGCAAATCAATAGAATGTTGAGCAGAGATAATCTACAGCATTATTTGGGATAATACCTAAACTCCGGTGTTAAGGATTCTGAAGGTCTTAAAAATTAAAATGTTACTGAAGTTGAACAAATACAGGCCTTATCTTCTCTTGAGAAAATCGGAGGTGCAGGTGGTAATCCATGTGTGAAAAGGTGATTGTGTACTGACAAGGGTGTGTTTTATGTAAACCGTTTGTGTAATGTAATGAAAAGTGAAGGACAGTAAATCAAAATGTCTCTTACAGCACTTGAACGTTCCTGAGCAAAACTTGAAGTGTTTGTAAATTGTGCCCATTTACACAGCTTTTGCTTCAAAGCTCCCTCTATGTTTTCTCTTGTTTTAAGAAGAAAAATCTTTATACAGTGCTAGTGCAAATGTGACTGGTAAGCAGCTTGCTTAGTTTTGAATTTCAGTTGAATTTAGGGGTATTATGACATTGTATATATTTCATTTTGACCATCAGTGAACAAAATAAAATCTTATAATTTTAAAGGGGCCACTTGAAAGATTGTGTGGGATTCATCTCATCTGATTTTATAAATGTACATCTGACCTAATAATTTGTGATTTTCTTGATAGTTGGAAGAAACAGATGGTTTATTCTAGAGCTCTGACATAGGATGTGGCAAAGGGTGCTGTAGAAATATGTATTGCTTTCCATTGACTGTAAAATGAATTAACATGACCGTTTCTGATGTAGATGTTTACATTTGGGTCAGATCAATCTTGCTCTGTGTGTGAAAAGAGCTCCAGTCTGATTTTAAAAGTGTTCCCAATTGGGTCACTGTTTTCTTCAGTTTTTTCATACTGGGAAATTCAGTAACAATAGCCAGAATTCAGTTGACTTCACTTTTGGTTTTCTCAGTATGTTACTGTAATGCTCAGGTTTCCAACACTTAAAAACTGTCTGTCTGAATTTTGTTTAATGAAAATTAATGGTCATATGAAATCAGAGCTCTGGATATAAAACCCGATGCTGATACTTTATTTTAAGTTCACGTTGGAGTGTTTTTCTTCTATCTGATACTCTGCCCTGATAGTGTTTAACTTCACCCAGTGGAGACTATCAGCACCAAGATTTCTTACCACATAGTTAATCATTTAAAAATGAATTATCTGGAAGCAGAATATGGATTGATTGAGGGGGGTGCTGAGAACGAAGAATACAGTGGGGTAGTCAGATGAGAAAACAGCTGTCTTTATGGAGTGGTCATAGACAAATAAACGATATGTCTATTTGAGAGAGGGTAGGCTTATTCAAGATGAAATTTATCTCTCACAAGAGTGTTTTAATATTTTGTGGTTATTTGAACAGCTGTTAGGTCACTTCCAGTTTCTCAGTGAATTTGGCAGCCAAAATGTAATTGTGGCTTTACCGTCTATACTTTCTGTGGAATTGTACTTACTGGCTTGAGCGTACCCTGAGTATATTTGCTAATTTTTGGATACCATTGTTTGCATCGAAAATAACGTTTTTAAAACCACGTTCACTGTAAGTGGTGCAGAACATATCTGCCTGGCATAAGATAGGTTCAATTTTGAAAGAATGGCTCTTAAGAAGTTTTCTACTACATGAATACTACAGATGAGCAGATACACTACAGACGATGTACTTCCATGTACATTCTAGTTATAAATGAGACTGTTCTGTATGATCAGAATAACTTCACGTGGGTCTGGATGCCTGTGCATAATGCCTTGTACGTGCTTTCTTTCCTCTGAAGTCCTAAGGGTGCTGTCCTGTTCCAAAGCTATGCAGTGAGTTCTGGAGAGTGAAAGCAGGAAGCAGTGGAAATATTTTTTCTGTTCTCCGCTGGACATCTTAGAACTGTTATTTGCAGTTTTACCCTGATGAAATATTATATTCTGGATAAAATTACGAATAAACTAGTTGTTTAAATTCAAAAGGAGGTCAGAATTAGAAAGCCTGCATGTCTGGATATTTATACAGTGAGAAATAGAGTCCAAAGAAATTGAGGAGGGGAGGAGGGAGAGATAATGTTGACCTTCGGGATTTAAATCTCTTACTTCATGATACATAGTAACTGAGAAGACAAATTTCCATACTCCTCATCCAAAATCGAAGGTTAACATGCAGCTAGAACTTTGTAGAACCAAAAAGAATGTTGTATTTAAAACCAGTTTATGAAATCACTTAAAAATCCACAGACTTTTGCATTTACACGTGCAGTTTTTCCTCCATCTGAAACATCCATTTATCTCAACACTACCCCAGCAACTAATGTTGCAAAGGAAAAATTGTAGTGGGTGGAGTTACTGAGAACAGTCCTTCAACTCCAGTCGCTGGTTGTAGACCAAGCAGAGATAATGTCAAAAGTTTGACAGAATATGGAAACTATTGAATTTATGCAGTTTTTAGTGATGAGTATGCATAATTGGTATTTGCTGCTCCTAGTGGCACTTGAATGGCAAATGTCTCTAGTTAAAGATGGGAAATGGAGTTGTTGGTAATGAGTCCCTCTCTTATGAAGGACTCTTTACAAACAGAAGGTAGATAATTTTATATTTAATGTATACCATTTGCTGTCACAGAATAGTCTGGGAAAAAAATGGATCTAATACGACTTTTCGAAGCTAATGCAAGAAAATGACATTGGCCTTTCTTATTAGGAGGAACTGTTAGTCTTCCCTATAGGCTGTCCTCCTGTGACCTTTCAAGCAAACTTAACTACTTCTGTCTGAAACTTGGTCACAGTGGCCAAGTACAGGTTTGGCTTTTAAATGAGCAGCTCTGGTGGCTTTAGAATGTGACATATTAGTAGGACTGCATCTCTTTCTGCTTAATTTCTGTTTTAACATTTAGCTGTATATGTATTTATTGTTAAAGTATCTTGGCAACATGCCAGGTTTCTCATTGTGCTCCAGTATTGCAGAAATCATTAGGATTTTAAAAAACCAAAACATTCCCACACCAAAAAAAAAAAAAAAAAAGGCGAAAGCATGTA